AAAATAAAAGCATCTCAAGTACAGGGAAATGGCTTTTCATTTCTTTAGTTCCACAATGTAGTACCAAGCAAATGTTCAACAAATATTTAATGACTGAACTGTGAGCAATCACCAAACATTACATTGATTAAAAAAAAAAAAAAGTGGAATATTAAAAATTTCTCTTCAGGTGGAATTGAAAGGAAAATATGCAAATAAAACATTCAAGCTCAAATTTCATGGTAACATGGATATTATTTGCAAGAAACAGAGGACACATAAGGACAGCAGTGCAGAATACTTAAAAAATACTCAAGGGGCCTCTTTGGTGGCTCAAGGTGTTAAGCACTGTACTATGAAGCAATCCACAGCCTCTGCAGCATGAGTTCGATCCCAGGCTGACCAGGGAGAAACCCACATGGCGCAGCAGACCTCTCCTGCCTCTCCGGCTGCTCCCCTCAGCAGTGTATTTCAGTCAGTCTGCCTGTTCTGTTCCCCACTCAGTCTCTGGTGGATCCTCTCACCCCCTGCATCTCTGGCCTATGCCCCACCTCTTGTACGCATAAATAAATAAATATTTTTTTAAAGATTTATTTATTTATTTATATAAGCACTGGGTACAGTCAGAAGCGTGGGAGGGTGAGAGAATTCACCAGAGCCAGAGCGGGGAGCAGAATAGGCAGACTGACAGAAGTACACTGCTGAGGGGAGCAGTGGGCGCGGCAGGAGAGGTCTGCGCACTATATGGGACCCTCGCTAGTGGCTGGGGATCGAACCAGCGCTGCAGAGGCTGCGGGCAGCTTCACAGCCCAGCTCAACTGCTGCACCACCAGGGAAGGCCCAATAAATAAATCTTAAAAAAAAAAATACTTAAAATCTGAGGCAGTGCAGAAACTTCAAGTTTGCAGGACCTTGGCACTGGACATACATAGGACCTGATGATGGGGTTTTGATGAGATGTTGGGATTCAGTAAGAGGGTGTCCTTGAGTTAGTTACCTCTGAGAAAAATTTTGACAGAGTTCCCCTTTCAGTGGCACACTACAAATTTACTAAGGAAAAGACTTTTGCATAGACATATTAAAAGGATCGGCTTATTAGGAAAAACAGAAAGGAAAAAAGAGACAACTGCATAGACACAGGTGGGCACAGAGGTACTTCTGCTGATGTTTTTAAAGGAAAGGTTTGTTAAAAGAGATGCCTGTATAGACACAGGTGGGCACTCTTAGGACCAGAGCTGCATTTTTCAAGAACAGTTTTTCTTTTTCTCGTTTTAAAGATTTATTTATTTATTTATTTATTTATTTATTTATTTATTTATTTATACAAGCACTGGGTACAGTCAGAAGCGCGGGAGGGTGAGAGAATTCACCAGAGCCAGAGCGGGGAGCAGAGCAGGCAGAAGGACCGAAGTACACTGCTGAGGGGAGCAGCGGGCGGCAGGAGAGGTCTGCGCGCCATGTGGGACCCTCCTCCGGTGGCAGGGGAGCAGCCGGGGATCGAACCGGCGCCGCAGAGGCTGCGGGCAGCTTCTCAACCCAGCGCTAAACCACTGCGCCACCGGGGAGGCCCGAGAACAGTTTTTCTTGGCAGTGTTCTTTTGGGTATTCATACCTTTGTGGACTAACAGTCTCCATTTCTGTAGCAGTCTGTGTGGAAGAATTTTCTATAGCAGTCCATATAGCAGTCCAGTGCCTAAGGATTTCCTGTGCCTACAAATTTCCATAGCCAGTATAATGACTATTTTCGTTATTTCTTACCTCCACCTCTAGTTTCTGGCATTGTGAAGTTTCCATTCCCTATTTTTTCCTCTAATCCTCCATCGCTATCACCTGCCTCCTTAAAGTCCTTCAATGACTTTCTAAAGCTAAAACATCACCCTTAATCTGGCATATATGGGCCTCTGTAATAAACTTTCTTCTACCTGCTTACAACCTCATCTCTCACTACTCTCTACCTTACTATCTGAACTGCAACCTCACAGGCCTTTCCCACTTCAGACTGTGTACAAGCAAATCTGCCAAAAATGTTCTTTCATATACTCCACTTCATCTAGTTCATGCTCATCCTTTGGCTATCAGTCCAATGATTCTTTAAGTTTTCTTCATTATATGGTTGACAGCATAAAGTTTTACATATTTTATTTGGAAGACAATACAATATAGTATCATGACCTTAATAATGGGCCCTTAGGCCTATCTATTTAATCTCTTGTGGCATGGTCTGTGTTTGTAAAATCAGGGTAATAGAGTGGTCACTTCATAGATTATGTTACGATTCTGAAAGGCATTTGTCTGGCTTCCACTACTGAATTCCATACAAGTTTTGAAAGAACCAACAATAAGTTTCAAGCTAGGAACTTTTATTTTGGATCACCCAATAGCAGAGGGGCAGCAACTGCCCTGAGCCACTTATAGCCAGGATGTAGCCAAGTTTTGAATTTCAGTTTTTATGCAAGGGAGGGTCACCCAAGGGTAGTGTCAGAGCATATCTGGAGCTGAGGCTATTTTGAGCATGTGCAGTGGGTGATCATGTAGGCTATACACCCCATGCCTCATTAGAATCTTCAGTCTCCTCCCAGGAGTGTGCACTTTAGCATACTAAACACTTCAGGTCAGGTTCTTTTTTTTTTTTAATTTTTAATTTTTAATTTCATTTATTTATTTATTTTTAAAGATTTATTTATTTATTTATAAAAGCACTGGGTACAGTCAGAAGAGCGGGAGGGTGAGAGAATTCACCAGAGCCAAAGCAGGGAGCAGAGTAGGCAGAAGGACCGAAGTACACTGCTGAGGGGAGCAGCGGGCGGCAGGGGAGGTCTGCGCGCCATGTGGGACCCTCCTCCCGTGGCCTGGGAGCAGCCGGGAATCGAACCTGCGCTGCAGAGACTGCGGGCAGCTTCACAACCCAGCACTCAACAGCTGCGCCACCAGGGGAGGCCCTACTCCTGCTATCTTAAGGCCTATAGCTCTCTTTTTGTTTCTCTTGTGGCGATAGGGCTTGCAGTTGGTGAGGATGTTGGTGTGAGCCTGTACAGTCTCTCAGGAAGGGAGTACACAGCCAATTCTCCAAGTTCCTTCAGCATTGTTGAGGTTGTAGCATTGTATTTTAACTACTTTTACCTCTAAAAGATCTAGAAACATTGTGATTCCCAGGGAGACAAATAGTCCTGCGTATATCTGACGGATTAAGGAGTTTAGGGCTGAGTGATAGGGAGGTATCCAAGAGGATTAAGAAGCATGATCAAGTTCCTTGCTCCTGCCAATGGCATTTTCACAAGTATTAGGAGCCTAGGAAAACTGTGTTTCCTTATTGGTGCATCCAGGGTATGATTTCCACCATGGCAGGGTTCCTGAGTAGAATGCCAGGCAGCAAGAGCTTGGGTTGGAGTACAGTAGGTTGGCCAAGGAGTGGGGTAGTAGCAGGGTTTGAGGCAGCTGGACAGGAACACTTGGTAGTGGCTATCTGAAAAACTGCCTTTACCAATGCTTGCGAGTGCACTGTGGGACAAATTGAGTCCCACAGTTATCACATGGAATGCAAGCCAGGAGATGAGGATGTTTGTAAACCATCTAAAGGCTGACAGGAACAAATATTTAGAATTAAACTCGAAGAGCAGCAAGGTGCACTGCAATAAAAGGATTTGGGAAGATTCTGACTTATCTAGTTAGATTTCAGTCCAATTTGCAGGTTAGTCCCACATATTTGTTATGATGTGGTACCTACCAGGATGTGTATGGCAAATCCAACAGGCCTGAGGATAGGTCTGCCAAATAATGTCTTGGGTACGCCCCCCTGCAGGTGTTAAGAGCTCCAGCAGTGGGTGGTACTCTAGGTCCATACCCATAAGGTTACTTACAGTTAGGGGCAGTTTCAATAGCAATTCATCTTTAGCAGCCACTACTGCAGAGGAAAAAGTTCCAGGCAATGAGGCACAGTTAGAGAATAGGCTGAATACAGGCTAGAAGATAAAAGAACAAATACCCATGCATAAGGGCAGATACAGGGTTTTCAAGTTAGGATTACTTACTTTCTTGGGGTTTTCTTTTAAACAGCATAAAAATTATTGAAAAGATTAAGGGACATACTTTATATAAAGCACTTAGCATTATGTTATATGTAGTAAGAGCCCAATATTGGTAATTATCCTATTTACTAAATTAGTTGTCAGCTCCCCTCCACCACCCCTTTCCTCTACTCCACTAGCTCAGGAACCATATCAGCCTGATTCATTTCTGTATTAGCACAACAGGTCTTCCACGCGATTAAAAAAATAAACTGGCACAAAGTCTGGTGTTCTACTTTTACCTTGCTACCTAAACGGCTGCATTAAATCATGCATCCTACCTAAGAGTCATTTACCCTTATGAAAGTGTAGTATTTACCCCAAGAGGTTTTGAATTAATTGAGGATGCATCTGCCAAAGCACATCGCACATTTTTAAAGATTGATTTATTTATGCATACAACAGCTGGGGTACAGGCCAGAGGTATGGGATGAAAGTGTAGTATTTACCTCAAGGGGTTTTGAATTAATTGAGGATGCATCTACCAAAGCACATCGCACATTTTTTAAGATTTATTTATTTATGCATACAACAGCTGGGGTACAGGCCAGAGGTATGGGGATGGTGTGTGTGTGTGTTTGTGAGAGGATTCCCCAGAGACAAAGCGGGGAGCAGAACAGGCAGATCCACCAAAATACACTGCCGAGGGGAGCAGCGGCCGAGTCAGGAGAGGTCTGCGGCGCCATGTGGGTTGCTCCCTGGCCGGCGGGGGATCGAACTCCTGCTGCAGAGGCTGCGGATAGCTTCATAGTGCTGTGCTTAACCCCTTTCGCCACCAGGGAAGCCCCCCCACATCTCACATTTTCAAATGCACAAAAGGCAGGAGTTTATTATTAATTCAGCGAAGCTCCCGAGTCTGTCTCCCCTGCAGCACGTCTCGCCCCGACTCCCCTCCCCCCTCCCTGCACACACCCTCCCTGCGCCCTTGGCCCCCAGTCCGTCGGGGCCTCGGGCGTGGGAGTCTCGTCTCCGCGCGGCTCCCTCAGGGGCCCCGCGCCCTCCTTCCTTCCTCGTCCGGACCGACGCACTTCCGGCGGATGTGGGGGGCAGCCCCGGAAACGGAAGTGATCGGGAGGCCGCCTGACGGTAACGGCGCTGACAGGCCGCTCGCGGAGCTTGTTGAAAATGGTGAGTGAGCCCCGGGTGACCCGAGCGCCCGCGGGCTGGGGCCGGGGCCGGCGGGAAAGGCAGCCGCCTCCCAGCCAGCCCCGCGGCGGCGGTGGGGACCAGGGCGCGGACGAGCGCGGCCTAGGGCGCCATGATCTGTCGAGTCATGGGGACTGGGGTTGGTGGGTCTCGCCCAGGCGGTGCCCGGTGGAGGTCCCGCCAACAGTTCTTCCACGTCATCTTCTTCCATCGCTCTCTCTTCTCTCGGTTTGCGCCCTTCCGCCCCTGAGTCCCCAGGGTTCCCTGCCCCTTCCCCGTAGCTGCGGGGAGGAGGAAAGGACAGAACCGAAAGTGCCGCGCACCGTGGTGTGGCGCTGCCGACTGCCCTGTCGGGAGAACCCCTGGGGGCCCAGAGGCCTCGAACTCTCTGCCTCCGCTGACCCTCGCACAGCCCTGAAAAGCCACAGCTAAAGGGTCTCTTCTGTCGGCACAGCGGTTGAGCGCTGGGTTGCGGAGCTGCCCGCAGCCTCTGCGGCGCCGGTTCGATCCCCGGCTGCTCCCCGGCCACCGGAGGAGGGTCCCACATGGCGCGCAGACCTCTCCTGTCGCCCGCTGCTCCCCTCAGCAGTGTACTTCGGTCCTTCTGCCTGCTCTGCTCCCCGCTCTGGCTCTGGTGAATTCTCTCACCCTCCCGCGCTTCTGACTGTACCCAGTGCTTGTATAAATAAATAAATAAATAAATCTTTTTAAAAAAAAAGCGACAGCTAAAAGGAGCACGTTTTGAAAACTCATTTTTATTCTTCAGACATTTTTGAAAGCTTGGTAGTATGCTAGATGTTGGGGCGGGGGGGACATAGCAGACTGTGGCTTCTTCCTTTTGTCATTTTCCTCAGTGCCTCTCTTTCCCCCCCTTTTTTTACACTTAAAAGTTGTGATATTTGGGAAAGACCGCCGAATGGCCTTTGACCCCGACTTTGATGCCACAGAAAGCTGCTGTTGATAAATACTGCTCATCACTGTGAAGAGGTTTTTTTTTTTTTTTAAACTATTTTTTTTTTTAATAGAGGCATGTTTTATTTATTTATTTATTCATTTGTTTGTTTGTTTGTTTATACATGCACTGGGTACAGTCAGAAGCGCGGGAGGGTGAGAGAATTCACCAGAGCCAGAGCGGGGAGCAGAGCAGGCAGAAGGACCGAAGTACACTGCTGAGGGGAGCAGCGGGCGGCAGGAGAGGTCTGCGCGCCATGTGGGACCCTCCTCCGGTGGCCGGGGAGCAGCCGGGGATCGAACCGGCGCTGCAGAGGCTGCTGGCAGCTTCGCAACCCAGCGCTCAACCGCTGCGCCACCGGGGAGGCCCACTGTGAAGAGGTTTTATAGCCACTCTCAAGTGTAACTAGTGATAACTAATTTTCCATAGATTTTTTTTGTTTTCCTCTGCTACTTTATTGGGAACAGCAAGTACTACTCTTGATATTTTACAGAAGGAAACTGGGAAAATTAGAACAGTGTAACCCCTTTGCTTTGTGGAAGAAGAAACTTCTGTCATTTTTCAATACAGCAACCTGGGAAAAAGAGAATGTTTTTGTAGGAAAGTAACAGGAGATACATTTGGAAAAGTGAAGTCATACAACTGTAGTCCTGTGTTCAGGAACCTGGGGCAGATAAGTGGCTTTATGCCTTGGGCACGGTAACCTGCACTGTATTCCATTCTTTTCCGGATGGACCATGATTTCTGTGTCGAGGAGTTGAAACTGTTGTGTGGGTGCTTGAATTCCAGGCTAAGCACCTTGGACTTTTCTTCAAACAAGACATTGGTGAATCAGTGAAAGGGTTTTTTTTTTTTGTTGTTGTTCGTTTGTTTGTTTTTAGTAGCTTTGGTTGAGGAGGTTATATAATGTATGTATTAGGCAAACCTTGGTATGCAGAATTAGAAAATGAAATCGTCTAGAGGCAAAAACACGGAGTAGAGAGCTGTTGGAAGTTATCCGGCATGGGAACCTGCGCTAGGGTGGTATATTAAAGAAACCCTGGACAGGCTAAAGTATTTTTCCAAATAAAATATACAGATGAGTTAAGATATCAATAAAAAGTTGGTTTCATAGAATAGTTTCTTCAAGAATAGTGTAAGGCTGAATGCTAAAATATTTGTAGCTGCTTTATGTTTTTCTGCAGAATTGCAGGAATTTGTACTTGAGAGATTTGCATGGATATTGTCAGTATCTTGTTTTTACCTGTTGTAACATTTATTACATTTTATTTGATTGTTTTTATAGCAGTACCAGGAATTTCTGAAATTCCTTTTTTTTTTCTTAGCTACTGTGACCTGTCTTCTACCTTCCCTGTCTTTAATATTTTTCATTTTGTGCTTACCATCCCAAACTGAGGGAGAAATCTTTTTAATGAAAGTAATTCTGAGCATGCAGTCATCCTTCTGAGATGGTCAATTTCAGAATAAACCCAACTTTCTTTGTATGTTTAAGACTTTTCATTTTGCCAGTCCTTTGCTCCACTCAGGTATTTAGCCAATCATCTCAAACTACCTGTTCATTTATATTTTTATACCTTTACCCATGTTCTTTCTTTTTCTGTAATGACTTTTCACTCAGCATTCAGCAAAAACCTCAAAAATATATAACTGTACCATGTTTGTCCCACAATTATAATGCTTGAGATTCATTATAATTGACAAAGACCTTATTTTTTCTGTTTAATTCTCAGTGTTTTCACACAGGTGTTTGGTGTGGGTTTTTAACATTTTAAAATTTTTAACAGCATTTTAAATTTTTGTTATAGAATTCTAGAGGACTTGGATCTGAGCTCAAGGACAGTATTCCAGTTACTGAACTGTCAGCAAGTGGACCTTTTGAAAGTCAAGATCGTCTTCGAAAAGGGTACATGGGCGAGTTGTGTCTTTCACTGTTATAATAAAATATTTCTGTAAATTATTTTTCATGTATTTAAAAAATTTTTTTTTCGATAAGTCATAAATGTATATGTGATTTAGAGATATGAAGTCATATATTTCCATCTGGGCCCTGGTGGAAGCTTAGATGTTTTCTATAGTAGAAGCAGTCTTAATTGGAATGGTAGTTTCCCAGGAGAGGGCATCCTCTTAGGAGATGTGAACAAGTAGCATGGTTTGGTAGGAGTTTGATTTTTTGCTACTGATATTTTAGAAAGCAGTTTGTCTCCTTATCTTAATAACTACTGTGGAATAATTCACTTTTCTTTGGGAGACACTTGGACCTAGAAGGTGAGAGCATGGACTCTGCATCAGACTCTTTGGGTTTTGAGCCTGACTCTGCTGTTTACTAGATGTATGCCTTGGGACAAATTTCTTAATTCCTTATGTCTCAGTCCTCAATCTATGAAATAGGGCTGTTGAGAGTATGTAACTTAGTTGAGGAATGAATGAGTTAAGACATAGAAAATACTTAGAACAGGTGATGACAGTAGTAGGTACTCTGTAAGCGTTAGCTAGTATTTTTCTATTCTAACTTCAGCAGATAATTATAACCCTTTTCCTGGATTTGCCTTTTTTTGTTGTTGTTTATGTTTTAGTTTCTGGTACTTTTTCTTGACAGATGGCTTTTCTGCTTAATTAAGGACAATGCCTTTCTCCCATGAGTATCTTGTGTTTTGAATTTCATTTCTAATTTTAAGTTGTTTAATGTAACTGTAGTAGAATGTCATTCTAATACTGGTGTCATTATAGACTACCATTTTATAGTGAAAGATGCAGTACATAGCCTTTGGAATTGGATATATAAATTGATTTACAGCATAAGCATATTCATAGATCAGTCTTTAACCAAGTCCTGGCTTATTTATTCACATGAAATGTTCCTTTTTCTTTCCAGTTAGACTAAGATTGCCATGAGTGGAACCATTTTCAAATTCTACTTCTGGGATAATCCTCTGTATAAAGACAGTATACAATAAATGATTGTCATAGGATTTCTAAAATTTCTTTTCATTCTCAAATGATTTGGATAATAAGATAGTCATCTTTTCATATCTAGTGTTATAAAGACCAGTAGCTTGGTTCTAGCTGTGTGTCATGTAAAACATAGTACTTTGTACATAGTAGATATTTTATAAATGTCAAACACAGTATTCAGCATATGTTAAAGACATAGTCAATACTGAAGATGCATTAAACCTGAACAGAAGAGGCTTGAATAGTTTAAATAAGAAGCATGTCATCAGAATAATAATAATAAGCATACTTTATTAAATTTTGTGAGAGTTCTCCCTAGTACCTGTAATAGAGATATTGTAAAACAATTATTATAAAGTAAATTTGACTCACCCCGCCCCCCTATATGGCATATATTGATAGTTAAATGAATTTTAGTACATGTATCAGTTCCTGTAGCCATCATCATAGTCAAGATACAGGGCAGTTTCATCATCTCAAAAACTCTTTAGTGTTCTATTATAGTTACATCCTTGATAGATGTGATTTTTGAACTTGGGTATTGAGAGATATTTAACCTTCTATTTGAATGTTTATTTTCAGCTTTTCTTGTGTGAAAAATGAACTTCTGCCCAGTCATCCTCTTGAATTGTCAGAAAAAAATGTAAGTATGTTATGTGCACTTTATTAGTATTCTCCAGTAGATAAATACTTTTAATAGTCTTATTATGAAAAAAAATAATATTACTATGGTTTCATTTATTAAGACAGTTCTGATGTTGAGCATTTGACCGTGAAGCATGTTGAGCCTTGTTTTTAATGTCCTTTAGAAGACTTTAAGTGCTCACTTTGGCAGCACATACACTAGAATAGACTTTGAATTAGTGCTAGATTATCATTGCTTCACTAAAGCTCCCTTTCTACACATTCCTCTATTCTTATTTATGGACACTTTAAAAGGTCTGTCCACCTCTTCACTTTTCTCATGATGTTTTCTCATTTGATGACCTTATTTTCTTTTATATTTTTGCTGTTGATCTTCAAGTTCATATCTCTATCCTTGACCTCTTTTTCAAGCCGTCAGTCTCTAAGTTTTGTCTTTTTTTTAAAAGATTTATTTATTTATTTGTACAAGAACTGGGGTACAGTCAGAAGCGCGAGAGGGTGAGAGAATTCACCAGAGCCAGACCGGGGAACAGGACAGACTTGACTGATGAAATACCCTGCTGAGGGGACCAGCGGGCGGCAGGAGAGGTCTGCGTGCCATGTGGGACCCTCGCTGGCGGCCGGGGATCAAACCGGCGCTGCAGAGGCTGCGGGCAGCTTCGCAGCCCTGCACTCAACCGCTGTGCCACTGGGGAGGCCCCATTAGTCTCTAAGTTATTGAGACATGTTCACTTGCTAGACACACTAGGTACACAGATGAGTGTAATATAATTCCCCTACTTATGAAGCTGAAATTTAATGGAAGGAGGAGAAGTGGATAGGGGCTTCCTAAAGTGCTATTGAGGACCAAGGATGGAGCAACCACCTGTGCTTAGGGATGTGGAAGGTATTACAGTTAGGAACATTTGGACCGCTTAGATTGGTATTCACCAGGTAAATGTGGAAAAGTCACTCTCAGAGATAGTATAGTTTATATACATGTTCCAAAGACAACTTAAAGGGTTTTGAAATATACATTTAGAACAAGAAGAAAGAAGTCTCACCACTGGGAACATGTTGCATTGTTACCCAGTTTTTAGCTATCCTATTATGTTGTTTTGATTCCTTTCTCTTTAGTAAGGAAATGATTTTTTATAAAAAGGAGTAGAACAAATAATGTAATAAGGAAATTGAAGTTCAAATTAGATGAGAAAGTAAAGGATTCCTACTTGCTTTAATTACTCTGGTTTCATGCTCCAAGTTGACGTAGAAAGGTTAAGTGTTTTTCAAAGACTTGAGGTTGACCACTGAAAGCTTGTAAACTAGGTTTTGTGGAAGAAAGAGCTGGTATGGATAACTATTTTGATGACTTAGTGAACAGCTTTATAGATGCTACAATAGACCAAAAGACTAGGCCAGAGTTTCAAGAAAAATGCTTAAGTGGATGTGCGGTTCTGCATTTGGCTTCAGAAAATGAACTATGCACATTTACATGGAGTAAAATTTAACTTGTTATGTAAAGTTTAACAATTTTAATTGACTGTTTTTAGTGTAAGCCAGCAGATTGCGTTAGTCACTGGAAAGACCAGTTAATAATGCAATGTTGGACTTTATTAATAATAAGCTGGGACTCAAATCTAGAGAGATACAGTTTTACTTTCCTGTGAGCTAGTGGGGCCATTAGGTTTGGAGGATTGGTTCCGTTTTGAACAATATATGTTTATAGAGAAATTTTGGTAAGTGTGAGTGAGACTGGCCAAAATTGCCAAGAGTCTAAAAATTTTGTAGATCTTATGAAGCCCATCTTACATGTACTGCGTCTGTGTACTCTTCCCTAATGACTTAACCAACTAATGGCAGCCTCTCTCTTGAAATTCTGAGCACTTAATGTAAATCCTTTTGCACAGGTTGCATAATTGACCTGTAGTATGTTTAAATTGGCACCACACTTACTTGTTAAGTACACTCGAGGCGGGTTGTTTAATATCTTGTTTAAGTTTTAGTTTCTTTTTGTAAAATGGAATTAGTCCATCCCTTGGCATATGCTTGCTAAAATTAGTTCTCCATAATTGAGAGCTGCCATGGTAATAGTGATGAAAGAATACTATTACCATCTGCACTGGTGATTCTCAACAAGAAATGATTATGGCCCCTACAGAACATACAGCAATGTTTGATTGTTATAAGTGGTGTTTGGGGGGGGGGGGTGATACTGACATCTAGTGAGGAGAGTCTGCAGATTCTACCGATACTTCTAAATATCCTAGAATGCACAGAGTAGTCCTAATTACCCACAGCAAAGTATTATCTCACTCCAGATATCAGTAGTGCCAAGGGCTGAAAAGCCCTGATCTCTATGTAGTGTCTTTTCTGCTCAGTTCCTACAAGGTATACTGTTGGTTCTGTCTTGTTGTATATGACCATAAAGCCTAACTAACATTTACATATGAGGATTATTCAGTATTTAAAGGAAGCCCTTCAATTAGGATTTCAGATCATATGCTTAAAATACTGCATACTTTTCTTTAAGGAGCATTAGTTACAGTTTTGCTGTGAAGCTAATGTAATTGAGAACCAGATTGCTAGACAGCTTACGTTCAGATTTCATATTTGTGTCCCACAGATCATATCCTAGATGGGCACTTTTCTCAAAAAAATCCTGATTTTTTTGATTATGATATTTTTCTTACGAATGTTAGAAAAAAGTCTTATCCAGAGAGTCCTAATGTACAGGCACATCTCAGATATTTTTTCCTTTCTCTCTCTCTCTCTCTCTTTTAAAGATTTATGTATTTATTTATGGGGTATAGACCAGAGGTACAGTAGGTGAGAGGATTCACTAGAAACAGAGTGAAGAGCAGAACAGGCAGATTGACTGAAATACACTGCTAGGTGGAAAGACAGGAGATGGCTGCCCTGCCATAAGTGGGTTAGCTCTCTGCCGAGGATTGAACTGAGGCTGTGGTGGTGCTGAGATTTAACTCCTGTGCCACCAGAAAGTCCCACCTCAGAGATATTTCAGGTTTGTTATCAGACTACTGCCACTGCAATAATTATTACAGTAAAGCAAATCACATGAATTTTTTGATTTCCCAGTGTATATCAAAATTGCATGTACACTATAATACAGTCTGTTAAGTGTGCAATGTTACGTCTAAAAAACCCCAATGTACATACTCTTTAATATGACAGACACATGAAGTGAGCCCATGCTGTTGGAAAAATGGCACTGAGAGACTTTCCCTACATGGGTAACATCAAATGCAATATTTGAAATGCACAGTAAATCAAATTGCAATAAAATGAAGTATGCCTGTAATAAAAAATGATCACAGAGGTCACTTTTTCTAGTTGTTATTACCTTAACTCAGATAGATCTTTGTAATAGTCCTTAATAGTCCTTTTGGGAAACTGTCCATGAGTCAAGTTGATTCAATGCCTGAAATACATTAACTTGCTATACAAGTTTTTTGGAAGTTATATCAATATTCAGTAAAATTATGATTCCAGGGGAAAAAAGCTTATTAATATTCAATGCAAATTGGACCAAATTTTCATAGTTTTGGGGTTTTTTGCCCCTGGAATGAATCACCCAAAAACATAAGAGTTAGACATTGTAGTTTAACAGGATGATATGATGGTATGGTTATTTGTTTTGTAAAATCCTTTGCAATATATACTGTCATACTTACAAATACATCATTAACTTTTGTCACTGTGTGTAACTTTCTGCATCTCTATACTTTCACGCTACCAGTTTACAATAATTCTAATCAAACAAGTGTGATTATGCTTTGTAAACATACTTTTGCAGTGTGAAAAACATTCCTTATTAGTTTTGTGAATCCAGATTTTAGGTGGTAATTTTATACTGGCGAAGTACAGTGCATGAAGATAAGTACGGTGCATGCTGGGTAAAATATAGAAATACATCTACAATTTTTTGAAGAAGTAGGAAAAATAACATTGTTTTTAATTCTTCTTATGGATATTAAATCCTTCATCTGAATACTGTGTTATATATGTGTCAGTGCCATCTGCTTTGAATGTAGAATGTTGAGTGTGACATTTAAAATTATGTTTGTCTTTTTTTGTTGTAGTTCCGGCTCAACCAGGATAAAATGAATTTTTCCACACTGCGAAACATTCAGGGTCTATTTGCTCCACTGAAATTACAAATGGAATTCAAGGCGGTGCAGCAGGTGAGTTGTGGATGCCGTTTACATGTGCATCTCATATATGTGCTGGTAATCAGTTGGAAGGATTCTTCTATTTTAATATCAGCTGTGTAAACCTTACCTTCTTTTTTCTCCTACAACCTATTCTCCCTTCTCCCTTCTCAGGATAGGATCCTGATTCCTCCTTCATAGAGGGAAACAAGTCTTTAAGTGGAAAACTCCAGATTACAATTTCAGTGTCTGAAAATTTAAACCTGCATTAGCTTTCATGGTTTTCTCCTTTTGGGGGGTTTACAGTGAATTTAAGATGCCTCTAGGAATATCTAAGTGGGGTATATAGTGGGCATTTTGTGTATAGCTAAGCATGTCTGTTGCTCATGAATAAGATCTTCAGAAATGTCTTTCTAAGTGCGTAAAAACTATTTAACTGTTTCTCTTCCTACTCACCTTGGATTTTGCTTGAATTCTGCCACATCATAATGATTAAGGACATTCTCCTTTCTTGATCTTTTCCATAGCTGATACCTTCAACCTTTCTCTATTCTGACTCATCAGCAGCATTTATATATACTTGAACCTCTTGTTCTCTAAACCAAAATTGTGTCCATCTTAAATACCTTTATAGTAATTTCTCTCTCAGTAAGTGTGCTTTTGCAAGTTAAGTTTCTTAAAAAGTTGCCTACATTTGCTGTGTTTACTCCATTACCTCCTATTCACTCAACCTAGTTTTCTGACTTTAATCAAACCAGTGAAACTGCTCGAGTACAGGATGTTTAACAACTGCCTTTTCGTCCCTGCTTTTGATGTTTTCTCAGAATTAATACCTCTGATCAAGTTGTACCTATCATTCCCTTTACTCTCTGGTTTAATTTATAGGCTCGGTGTTTAACTATTTTTAATACTTTCTCTTTCTCCCTTTACCCTCCCACTTTTTATTTATTATTTAATTTTGACAGTCTAGAGGAATTTTTTCATGCTGTAAAAGGTTAAAATATAGGCCATTAGTAATTGAAAAAATGTTTAGTCTGGTTACGTTTTCTTTGGGGGAAAACATCTTAGTTGTCCCCTTAGATTCTGACATTGTGATTATTTAAAGTACAAGTATTATGTAGACATGGAGCACCTATTACTCTTGGTAATATCCAAAATTATATGCATTGATTCCAGTTATAACTGCTGAACAATTAACAAAGAACAGAAAACTGAAAATTTGCTTGGCTACATTAAAGCTTTTTGAATATCAGCTGTGTGCCAGTGACTATACTGTGTTTATACTATATACTATAGTACAAGTTTGAGAGGAAGGTAGCTACTATCCTGTTTCATGATGAGGAAACAGAGAGTTAACACATACAAAGCCATAGGGTTGGTCAGTGGTAAAATGAGAATTTGAATCCAGATCTGCGATTGCACAGCCTGTGGGTTTATCCACTACACATTGGTACCAGTCTCTACTGTGTGTACTTATTAGTCAAAAAAGTGACACCAGTTCAGACTGGCATTGTGTTTTAAAGCCCTGCAGTGACTTTGACCTTTATTTCTGGTTACCACTAATGTTTTCAAGGTTTATAACTAAATCTATACTTTTTTTTTTAAAGATTTTTATTTGTTGTGCATACAAGAACTGGGGTACAGGCTAGCGTTGTGGGAGGTGAGCGGATTCACCAGAGACAGAGTGGTAAATAGAACAGGCAGATTGATTGAAATACACTGCCAGGGGGAGCAGCGGGCAAGTCAGGAGAGGTCTGCTGCACCATGTGGGTAGCTCCCTGGCCGGGGATCGAACCCGTGTTGCAGTGGCTGTGGCTAGCTTCATAGGTTTTGTCTTAACCCCTTGCTCCAGCAAGGAGGCCTTAAATCTATACTTTAAGTAATATAAACAAATAGAATGATCAGTTTACTAAGGAGAATAATACTTTTCACTCATTGGGAATTCAGGAATCTGGTCATTTCACATATTTTCGGAAGGAGACGTGGGTTAGGCACTGGGATATTTCATTTCATCACATGGTATATATATATACTGTGGTATTCCTGGATATAAGCAAAGCTACAAAATATGTGCAAATTAATAAAAGGTATAGTTTCAGTGACTGTGTATTTTGAGTAACATTTTGAGGAGTTTAAAACGTTTGGTTTGTGTTAAATTCATGCTGATATGTTTTTTCCCCATTAGTATTAAAATGATAGTCTACTTAGTTTTGTGAATTTTAGAAACAAAAAAGATAAAATTAGGTCATATATTGTTTTTTTCTGATCTTGTCCTTTCATATTATCCCCAAGGTTCAGCGTCTTCCATTTCTTCCAAGCTCAAACCTTTCACTGGATATTTTGAGAGGTAATGATGAGACTATTGGATTTGAAGATATTCTTAATGGTAAGTGTCATTCAGCACTTTTTTTTGGAACCTCAGTAATGCACAGGCAATGGTAACAAACAAAACTAATAGGATTTTTCATCCACATCTAACTTAAAGTTGATTGGATTCACTTCTGTTTATTCACTACAACAAGATAAATTTAATGGTAATTGTTCTTCAGTTGGTTTTGAAAGTAAGACTTATTTATAAAGTTCTGAGGGTATAGTCATTCAGTCAAGTAATGTTAGTAAGTTTCATGTCCTAAGGATAATGTCTGATATGAGTATAATAGAGTATTCTTAAAGATAGCTTAAACAATGTTGACTGCAATACTCAAAAAGTTTGTGGGATATGACTTTTTAAAACTAGGAAAAAGACAAAAGTTTGTTTTTGGTTTTTTTTAAATAGGCCCTCACAAATTTTGTTTCTATAGAGTAGCAAAGCAGAATTTGTCATTTTTAATGAACTTCGAATAGTTCTATCATGTATAAGATAAATGGCTTTTATGTAAGAACAATACATGCAGCATCCTCTGTTTTCTGGTTCTGAGGAAGTTAAACAACTACAGTTCTGCTCAGTATTGCTTGTGCTTATTACGCCCCCAGCAGTTCAGGAGAAACAGAAAAACCCAACAGGATTAAATTACATTAGTTTTGCTTGGCTACTGATGTCCGGTAAGGAAATATGGTGGACACAACAGAAGTCTCGTGAGGCTCCTCTTTGACTATCTTCTCTGGGGGAGTTTTTTGAATGCTGGAAAACCTGGAAATTTTACTTTTTTACATTGACCTTAGACCTCATTTACAGTTAGAAAGGCGATAGTTCCATACTTTATATATTCTTATCTTTTTTTTGTGTGTGTGTGGGGGGGACCCTTGCCGGTGGCCGGGGATCGAACTAGCACTGCAGAGGCTGCAGGCTGCCTTACAACCCAGCGCTCAACCCTGCGCCACCAGGGGAGGCCCTATATTCTTATCTTTTAATTATAAAAGTCTTTTGTTTAAAAATCAACTCCTATAATTCTGTGTAAAGGAAAAAAATCTGTTTTCTAATGAAGGGGTATATATTAAACAGTTAAACATGTAATTACAAAAGGTGGGAGAGTCACATATCTCTGGTTATGACATAAGTTGATTCCTGAAAGATAGGTGAATTAGTTGAACTAAAACTAGAGACAGAAACAGCAGTATATTCAGGGTCTCCAACCTGAGAACAGCTGAAGAACTCTAGTATTTAAGATCTTATTCTAGTTAAAGGTAACAAGTTAGCCAGTCCTGGTTTCATGGATGTAGGTAGAAAACAAGACTTGAAAAGACAGGACAGTCACCAGAGTATCAATTTTCCTGTTGGTGCCCTGAACCTCATTTGCTACAGGGCAGCAAGAAGAGGATTAAGTCATGCCTGCATATATGGTGGATTTTGTTACAGGAAGAGGAACACCAAGTTAAGAGTGCCCAAATGTTTTATAATAGTCTATAAATCTGTCTTGTGCTCCATAGGAGGTAACAGTCTGTTTTCTGAAGTTGTTCACTTTAGAAAAAGCCATGGAAAGAGTCTAGAACAAAGACAGATACCGTCTCTAGTCCCAGGACTTACAGAATTGTGTGACACTGATTCTGTCTCCTGACACACATACGTGTGTTAAGATCCCCATGGCTGGATTTCTTGAGGAAAGTGGAGTGTGAAGTAGGGTGAGGTTGAAAGGCAGAGTGCAGGGGAGCCAGAATCTTGTGACTACAAAAAAGAAGTTTATTTTTGAGAGTTCAGTGTAAGGCTGTGAAAAGCAATGCAGTGGAAAGCAGTGATGTGATAGGATTTCATATTTAAAAAGATCACAGCTATTTTGTAGACTTCTTTTCATATTGATTCCTTGCCATCTCTCTAAGGTAGACATGAGCTAGAAAGGTTCCCTGAATGGGTAGGTGATTTTTGTTCAGTTGAGAACACTGGATTGCACTTTGGGTAATTCCTCAGTGGGAATTTTGCCTGTTACATACATAGCATTTTATTCTTAATAATTGTAGCAGTAACAGTTGCTGCTTAAGCTACTTTGTTGCATGATAAGGTCAGGAGTCTAGATTGCTGAACTGATGTAACACAGTAATGTCCAGTTTCTTGGGAAATTAGTGAGGAAACATCCAAATTGATCTGTAACTCTTGGTAATAATGATTTTAATGTGAGTGATTATTTTTACTAATTTTACAGTTTATTGAGTTTTTATTGTATTTCTAGTTCTGTGCTGAGGAATAGAGGACAAAAGGAAAAAAGACTTTATTGTCTTTAGGGAGCTTCCTGTTGGTATTCATTTTAAAGACTCTTAGGTGTACTATCACAATAAAAATAAGACTTTTGTCTGACCTATTTATAAAAATAGGAGTGAAGATTTTCAAGGTTTTTTTTTGTTTTAGAATTCTGACTCGTGGTATAATGGAAATGCAATAGAATATAAGCATGAATTCAAAGCAAATGGTGTCCAGCTATGTAATTGTCCTCCCAGTCAAGATATAAAATGTTGTCAACACTCCAGGCACTTCTCCACCCTTGGCCCCAGCCAACCACTAATGCTTTCTGTCACTTTAAATCAGTTTTGTCTACTAGAGGTTTTCATGTGGGTGGAATCGTTGAATTTATCTTTTTTTGAGAAAACTTTAATATGTTTTTTGTTTGTTTTCAGACCCGTCACAAAGTGAACTAATGGGAGAACCACACTTCATGGTTGAATATAAACTCGGTTTACTGTAATGCAGTATGTTCATGAGCACAGAGGCGCTGTTGTTTGTATAGTCTTCTTTTTACTATAATTTTATGTATACAACATTAAAAGTACTGACTGACACATGAGAATTTTTGCCTAAATGGTGTCTCTCATCATTTGAAATTTTTCGGGTCATTGGTTGAAACATACAACAGTTGAAAACACTGAAGGGACATAATTTTAGAACTCCTACTTTAAAACAGTAAAATTCTATCTTTAAAAATGTTAATGAGTACTGTGAAACTGTCCATAGGTTCCAGTTCAACTTATTTTCCATGTATTCCATAAATTTACTTTTAAATAAACATCAATATGACTATAGCCATCAGTGACTTCTTTCAGAATATATACCTGTCATTGATTTTCAGTGCTAACATTTTAAGTATAAAGTAACATACTTATATTGTTACCCTGTTTCAATTTAGCTTTCCAATATTTTGAAGAATAACATTTGCTTTGTTGATGATACTTTAGAATTATAGCTATTTTTGATTCTTTTAGATTAGAAAGCATAGGTTCAAAAGTTTTTTCTCATATCTAAATTGAAGGATAAAGCAACCAGCAAAAGCAGATTAAATTGTATAGATTTAAATATTGTCAAGTAACACTGTTAAAAGTAAAATTCATTTTACTTGATTATATATCACAAGATACTTTAAAAAATTAGTACATTCATGTACACCCACTATGCATCCACAAACAATTCCATGTTATTTTTTCCCCCTTATTTAAAACTAGTTCTTCCAACGATTGTTCTTTCTCATAAGGTGTTCTTTATGATTCTGGTATACAAAAATTGAAGATTCTTGGATTTAATTAGTGGATGGGTCGTCATTGAAGAAAAAGTATTTTTTTAATTTTTTTCAGGAACATTTCTATTGAATAAGGTTTACCACTTACAGCAATATCGCCCCCTCCTCTCTGGGATGGGGGTGTTTCACAATGTCTGCAGACATTTTTTGGTTGTCCCAATTCGGAGTGGAGGGCTGTGCTGTTACTGGAATCTAATAGGAAGAGGCCAGGGTGCTGCTAAACATGCAGTATATACTACATAGATTAGGGTTGTGTAATGAAAGTACTAAAGGAAGATAATTTAAAAGCTCTAAATTTATATTCAAGCAATAGCCCCTGTGTCTTAAAAAAATGTTACTGCAGAATGTTGTAAAGCTTCCTATATCCAAAGTTTGGTCCCTGCAACCAAGACTCATTTGGATCAAGGTATCAATAGTGTCAATGCTGACAGATGATGTATTTTTTAAAAATTGCTCCTGACTGTTAAGAAGACATTTAAAGCCATCTTTACCAACACAGTATTTGTCAACCTGTTTTACATTTAAGTTCTGAGAAAATACAGAGATAAGGTTCACCAATGCATGGTTTCTAGATACACATTCTCTTTTACTAGTTAAGAAAGTTTCATTAATTCTATACTTTAGATCTAGTTCTTCTGTACTTTAGTTCCTGAAAGGATGCCCTTCCTGACCAGTGAGGGAGTACTATAAAGTTAATGACCATAGTTTGAATGGGGAAGCCAGTGCTTTAAACATAAAATTGGTAATCATATGGTTAATGCTTACTTTCTGGAGGTCTTTTTGTTTCCTCTGACCCTCTACCTCCTGTATATTTATACCAGTGAACCTCATTCCTAGATGTCCCGTAAGGACTTAGTCTTATTTTGGTGTGTGGGTCTGAATCTCTGAAATTCCAAAAGAACTAGTTGGGTGTATCCCAGGAAGTACACTTTTAAGATGCTCTTCAGGGCTGAGAACCTTTGATTTATATGCTTCCTTTCTTTGTTTGCTTATGGCTTTTATTGGTGACATTCAGTAGTATCGGCTAATTCTGGCGTACCTCAAGTGTAAACTTTATTAATGTTTCTTATAATCTGCAGTGTTTGCTTGGCTCTGGGGAATTACTTGGGTTCCTTCACAAGTCAGTTACTGATCTCTGGGTTTCTTGCCTATGTACCAAACTTACTATTTTTTCAGATGCTATGATTTTGTTGAATTGGAAAGAACAATGTAAAGAACAGCCAAGAGAGCCTTTATGTAGATTTCTGGTGGTCAAATAGTATTTTTGCATGAGTAGGTTCATGCAGAACCTACATATTTGGCAGGAAGTGTACAGAGGTGGTGACATATACTTCTTAGTGACTCATAATGTCAAATTGTCCTACTTATTGGTGTTGCTAAGTATGATCACTTAATTGATGTGGTGGCACCAGAGTGTCCCATTTTGAAAGCACAGTTTTCCTGTTGCAATCAGAAAATAATCTGTGAGGAAATAATTTGAGAACTTGTGTATGTCCTGTTGCTCAGGGACCAGTCACCCACAGGCGTTAGCATCCATGAATTTTTACCTCAATCATTTATAACTTGGTTTTTGGGGACTAGGGAGGAGACTACAAAATCGCAATATTTTATTCTTCTACATTTATTGGCTGACAAAATTTTGTGAAGTCAGGTTTCCCCATTTCTCTTCTCTCTAAGGTATCCTAATTAACTGATGGATTTTTAATATTTCATAATCCATTTCTATTAGTACTCTGATTCCTTAAGCCTAATTGTTTTAATGAACAATTAGACCTTCATTTTGGAAACAAAATTACATTAGGGCTAGGGGGCTCCATATAATTCTTAACATTGCTAATTAATGTTATTTCATAGAATATGGAATATCGAATATCTTGAGACACTTTAATTATCGATATTGAAACCATAATTACAGAAAGTATGAGCAAAGAAATAGTGAGCCATCAGTCAGCATTTAGGCTGACCTTACTACTACTGATGTTTTGCTGAGTCACATGAGAAAGTCACAAGATCACAAGAGGCAAGGGTATCAATAATAGCCTTGCTCCATTCTGTGCAGTGTCTTAAAAATAAGCATTTTGAAAAGAGACAAAGGGAACTGATAAGGCACAAAAAGTAGTTTATTGTGCTTCCTAAGGTTTTTATTAGGGAAATTGTCAAAATGCAAAAGTAGACAGAGAAACACAATTAGCTCATGATCCCATCATCTGGCTTTCATAATTTACTTATGACCAATCTTATTTACATTTTTTAAAAGATTTATTTATGCATACAAGAACTGGGGTACAGGCCAGAGGTGTGGGGGGGCGAGAGGATTCACCAGAGACAGAGTAGGGAACAGAACAGGCAGATCAACTGAAATACACTGCTGAGGGGAGCAGTGGGCAAGTCAGGAGAGGTCTGCTGTGCCATGTGGGTGTCTCCCTGCCTGGGGATCGAACTCATGCTGCAGTGGCTGTGGATAGCTTCATAGGTTGTGTCTTAACCCCTTGTGCCACCAAGGAGGCCCCTTATTTACATTTTTCATCCCCTTTCCCCCTTGATAAATTTTTTTTAAATTCCAGACATTTCTATATATATGAATAATTTTATATTTTATATTAATATTTATGTATGTAAATATTAAGCTAGTGTAACCACAATACTGTTACACCTAAGTTAATAATTCCCTGTAATTAAATGTCCAGCCAGTCTTCAAATATCTTATGGTCCTATTGTTGGTGTATTTGGCAGCTATTTTGTTTGAATCAGGCCTAATCTAAGTAATTTACACACATTGTGATTGCTCTTTGTCCCAATTTTTCTTTATTTATGGGTTCCACCTCCATCTCTTCTTTTTCTTGCTACCTGTTGAAGAAACCAAGCTATTCTGTAGAATTTCCCAGTCTAGATTTTGCTCTTTGTATCTTTAAGGTGTAGATTTCCACCATTGTGTGTTTTGCCTCCCTCTTTAGAAATCTAAGAGGGCACACCTCTCTGCTCCTGGTCCCTCCTGTGGGCATGTGACCTAGGTCAGTCAATCAGACTTCTCCTGGACTTGGACAATAGAGCAAGGGCAGGAGGGTGCCAATGAGGTGACACTGCTGACAGTAGCAGTGCCCTTCCTGCTGCAGGATCACTGCTGTTAGTTGCCTTGTCTGTGGAGCTGTCTTCATGCCTGATATTTTCTTAACCCTTTCCTAGGCATTTTATTGAAACTGTGAGCTTCTACTCTCATTCCAGTAAATCCAGGGTGCTTTAGAAAACCTGAGTACGTCGTATTGCTTGAAATGAGATGTCTGTATGATATTGTAATTGGTATCAGACAACTGGTATTTCAGGGGCACATCCTCAGGGAAATGTGAGGATTGGGGACTAGGTGAACTAAAGTAGGTCAGGTAGTGAATCTAGATAGGAAATACAGTTGTCTTTGACAGGCAATTGTAAAATAGCTAGTCTATCTAGTCACATGCAGTCACATGCTCATTTTATAGCAAATTTTGGACAAGAAGAATATGAAAATGTCAGGATGATGGGGTGATTGCTTCTGATAGCATTGGAAAATTTAAAGTCAATAATAAGCTCAAATCCCCAAATCAACCTAAAGAATGTTAAAGAATGTTAAAGAAGCCTAAAGAATATTATTTCTTCAAGTTGTACTCAGCAAAAATCCAGAAGCAGTTCAGCTCGGAGGTTACTGCCGTGCCTGAGTTAATTTGTGAAAGTTGAAGCACTGACTCAGGACCCTGAGCATTGAATTGAGTGAAAACATAATTTAGGAGGGAAGTATTTTTTTCACTTAGAAGAACAGTGTTCCACTTTCTGTACTTGAAGGGGTTAGTGTACCAGAGAAAGCCAATTCCTCTTTTGCCAGAGAATTCTTTATTTCCAAACCCATAGCTAGTATAAAGAGCCCAGTATGCCCCCTGGAGGCCAAATCCAAAGAAACCCAACACGCAGCAACAATGTGGGGACTTGGCTAATTTATAGCTATAGGAATTTCAGGAACATGTGAAGGAATAGATTTTGAATATGCTTTTGGATTATCAATGTGATACCCTTATATAAGATGATTTTATTTATTTTTATTTTTTATTTTTAAGAAGATTTATGCATACAAGAACTGGGGTACAGGTCAGAGGTGTAGGGGCTAAGAGGATTCACCAGACAGAGTGGGGAGCAGAACAGGCAGATCTACTGAAATACACTGCTGAGGGGAGCTGAGCGGGCAGGTGAGACAGGAGAGGCCTGCTGTGCCATGTGGGCCACCTCCCTGGCCAGGGACTGAACTCGTGCTGCGGTGGCTGAGGGTAGCTTCATAGTCCTGTGTCTTAACCTCTTGCACCACCAGGGAGGCCCCAACACAAGATAATTTTATTTTATTTTATTTTTTTTATAGAGGCATGGTTTTATTTATTTATTTATTTGTTTGTTTATGCATGCACTGGGTACAGTCAGAAGCGCGGGAGGGTGAGAGAATTCACCAGAGCCAGAGTGGGGAGCAGCAGAGCCAGAGTGGGGAGCAGAACAGGCAGAAGGACCGAAGTACACTGCTGACGGGAGCAGCGGGCAGCAGGAGAGGTCTGCGCGCCATGTGGGACCCTCCTCCGGTGGCCGGGGAGCGGCCGGGGATCGAACCGGCGTTGCAGAGGCTGCGGGCGGCTTTGCAACCCAGCGCTCAACCGCTGCGCCACCGGGGAAGCCCACAAGATAATTTTAGATTCACTTAACTCAAGAAGCTGCATGTGGCTTTAGAGTTTGCAAATTTGAATTCAACACAGGTTCCATGCTAAATGAAACAGATGCCAGTAGTACGTGTAGAGCAGTGTTTCTCAAACTACTTTTTGCATAATACTCACAGGAGGTATTTTAAAAACACAGATTGTAGGGCCCCATTCCTAGAGTTTGTGATTCAAGAGGGTAGAGTGGAAGCCTGAAAATTTTCATTTCTAACAAGTTCTCAAATGATGGTGATGCTGCTAATCCAGGGACCACAATACTGGATTACCTGGAGAACAATGTTTTGAACCTACAGAACATGTCTGTCTGCTGCTCTCAAAACTTCTGAATTAGTTGATCTGTTAAAAGCTCTCCAGGTGATTCTACGTGGCAGCCGGGATACAACTGCTAGCCTAGATTGAGGCTTGGTATTCATATTTATTTTCACTTTCCACCCCACACTGTACACTTAGGGCTAAGATGCGCTCATTTCGGACAGTAGTTTCTAGATCTAGGTGTTTATGACTTACCTGGGAGGTTTGTAAAATTGCTTCTAAAATCCCACTCCATATCTGTTCTAACCAGTAAGAGTTTTGGAAATTGAATGAGTAACCAGAGGATTATTTAGTGAGTTCAAGAATAGAGAAAAGATTTCATGAGGTTGTGCTATGCTGGCTATGAATGATGATCCTTTTGAGGAGAAATGGCAGCACATCTTTGGTGATGAAAATATCCATTTCTATTAGATATGGTGTATTAAACCTCCCTTATATGGTGCTGGATAAAGAGGAACATGTTTTTCATCTTTATTCTCCTTTATCTGAACTCCAGGTCGGTCTTATTACAGGAGATTAGTTTTTTATTTTTGCATTTCTGTGTTTATTATAGTCCCCTATCAGCTTGTGTGTTTTTCTAGTCTTTTTTTTTTTAAGATTTATTTATTTATGCATACAAGAATGGGGGGGACAGGCCAGAAATATGGGGGGGTGAGAGGATTCACCACAGACAGAGTGGGGGAACAGGCAGATATGCTGAATACATTGCTGAGGGGAGCAGAGGGCGAGTGAGGAGAGGTCTGCTGCACCATGTGGGTAGCTCCCTGGCAGGGGATCAAACTCATGCTGCAGTGGCTGCAGGCAGCTTCATAGGTTGCATCTTAACCCCTTGCACCACCAGGGAGGCCCTGTTTTTCTAGTCTTTTAGTTTCACATTTACTAAACATCTCTTAGGATAGACACTTTGGGGTGTCTTTGGAGATGGCTAAGCCAATTCATGCTATATTTTTACCCTGGGCTACCTCAATCCAGTCCCTTGTTACATACTCAAACAGTTTTGGCTCCACTGAGAAACCATCTGCTAATCCTTCAACTGTATCAAGTAATACCATCTGTGGTCTCTTCAGTTCAGATGAAATGTGTAGGATCATGGAATGCTGATCTTGAAGAAACTTTGAAGATCATCTTCTCTAACCTCAAAAAAGGCAATATTGAGTTAGGTACAGATAATGCTGATGTATTTGGGGGAGCACAATATAAGCAGGGACAAGTCCACCTCTGTATAATGGGGTAGCTGAGTAACTGGTCAAATCTCTGAGACTTACTGCCTTCCTTCTCTGTAAATGAAGAAAACGAAGATCTACTTTGCAGGGTTATTAAGAGGATAAAATGAATAGATACAGCAAGCACTTTCTAACTTGTAAAGTGCTATTTCTTTCAGTTTTGGAACAGGAATGGAAACATAAATAAATCTGAGAATCACTCAGTTCTTACATGGTCTCCCAGTCCAGAAGACATTAGCTAAGTCTAAAAGTAAGGGTCTTGGAAATAAATTCTATTATTTTAAATTGTGAGTGCTATCTGCTAGTTAAGCAGTAATTGATGACTCTTCAGGAAAAAGCCCTAAACAATGTTATCAAACTCAAGACTGTCTGCATTCAAAAGATTCCAAAGAAGTCAATCATCCAGTTGTACTTAAAGGCATTTGTGTTATTACAACTATGACTTGGAAAATGGCAGCTATTGAAGGACCTGTGAAGATACCAATTTAAAAGGTATATGGGCCAACACATTTTCCAGTTTATTTGCTAGGCTGGCTTAATGATTGTTGCATGGTATCAGTGGCTACTCCCATAATGCATTAAAGACAAAATTTTGTAGGCACTGAAAATATTCAACAAACATTTATTGAGAATACACTGAGTAATCAAAGAATGTCCCTGTCCTCAATATGCTCATGGTCAAACAGGCAAACAAATGCCAGAATGGAAAGTGCTAGCATCTAAATATCCACAAAGTGCTCTGCAGGGGCTGGAGGAGGTCTGGAGAGAAGAGAAGAAATGGTAAGAAGGCTACACTGAGAAAGCAATGTTTTGCTGTTACTTGAAAGTTTCAAAGGACTAAAGTGCAAATGGAAAGGTGTTTTTTAAAAAAAGGTGGCATGAAAACGTGTTTTGAGAGACCAGGATGGATACCAGGATGAGTGTAAGGGAGCAAGAAATAGACATCCTTTCACAGAAATAATGAATACTGGTGCAGTAATATTACTTGACAATTAGCTGCTTATTCAGTATTCACATTTCTTTAGAAAGTATTTTGTTATCCAATCACTGCTATTTACATATAGAGTTAACATGCCTATCACTAATGAAACATTAAAAAGATGAAAATGGATTATTTCAATGTGTCCCTTCTAGGGATTTTCATTTTTTTTAAAAGCTTTGACTATTACCAGTACCTTGATGGGCTCTATCAAACAGCATTATCCAAGTAGAGATAAAATTATAAGTATTTAAAACTTTTGTCATTATTTTCCTGTCAGTCAAGTTCTCATAATTTTCAAGTTGTGCCTTCAAAATCCTTGAGAAAGGTCAGAAACCTATTTTGCAGATGAAGAAACTGAGGTAAAAAGTTCTTCGTCTCAATGTGATTGGAGTATATCAAGGAGATTATTGCTTTTAATTGTATTGCGTTTCTTAATCCCTTCTTACACCATTCAATTCCTGTTTTTTCCCCCTAAATCCAAAAGTGGGAAGTATTTTGATTGGTTCTATTGGAAACAGATCACATGGTATTTCTTCATAAAGTGCTCAAAGTGCATGGTACTGTCAGGAGCTCGTGCCAGGAACAATTTCCCTGAGTGTTCTTTTTAAAACGAAGGACGTAGAGCTTTGATTATTCAGGAAGGATTGATTGTGGAGCTAGGTTATAGCCTTCAGAAGTCAGAGAATGATATGCGCATATTTTTTTTTAAATCACAATTTGTCATCTGTCCGAAGAGTCTTCATTAGATTCTACTTCTGTGTGACGCATATAGCTTCCCTCATTCCAGCTGGTGCACTTGGCGACACTGCCAAAGCAAACAAGACATTTTAAAATTGGGATTAAGGCAACACCCAAATAATCTGTATTCCTTCTTTTTCCTGGTTATATGGTTTTTAATAAATTATGCAAAGAAGGATCATCCTGGTATTTTGAATCTAACTGACTTGTTATGCACAGTGTTCTGCATATGATAAAAAATCTGCTTGAGTTCTTTCTTATCCAGAGCCTAGACTATCCATCTGCCCCAATGTCTACACATATAAAATAGTTATAACTAGAGCTCTTACTGAAGTTCATGTTTAGTAGCTATATCTGAAGTTAGGACAAAAAGATCTGGAAATAATTTAAATAGCACATAATTTTAATTTTAAAAATATCGAACAGCATAGGGTTAAAAGAATCTCAGAAGACCATCTACATTCATATTATAAGAAGCATTTTTGAAAGGATAATTACCTTTTATCCATCTGCACTAATTATAAAAATTTTCTAATTATAAAAAAACTGTTCATAAGTAGAAATGAAAATAAAATTCAACCTGTTATCCCACTCTCTATGAATACAATTCTTTTTTTTTTTTTTTGTGGGACCCTCGCCAGTGGTTGGGGATCGAACTGGTGCTGCAGAGGCTGCAGGCAGCCTCGCAACCCAGCGCTCAACCACTGGGCCACCAGGGGAGGCCCTCCATGAATACAATTCTGACTAAAGTCATTTTTCATGATACGGATACTCCATGATATGGAGTTCGATCCCCAGCCAGGGACCTGACTCACATAGGACATAGCAGTCCTTTCCTGTCTCACCCGCTGCTATCCTCAGCATTGTATTTTAGTAAAAAATCTACCTGTTCTGCTCCTCACTCTGTCTCTGGTGAATCCTCTTACCCCCAGGCACCTCTGGACTACACCCTAGTTCTTTGATGTAAAATAAATAAATAAAAATGATAGTATTGAGTAACATTAAACCCAACAATGGGTAAGACTGACTGTCTCATAATGTGCTCACTAATACAGCATATTATTTTTAATTTGTCATATGAGTAGGTGAATAGTCTCTTTAAAAAAAAAAGATATCAAGTAACTTCTCATCAATTACAGAGGAACTGTCAATAATACTGTACTCTATCTTACACAGATGTAGGTGTCAGCATTCAGTTGAGACCACATGCATTGAGGTGAAACTATGAATAACATTTGGACAGCCTGTTAAGAAGTTCACAGTCTTGGTAGAAAGTTTTACGATTGCAAGCATGTGATACTTGCTCTCTGACAGCCACATCCACTGTGCATACCAGAAAGCCCAGATGCCTGACAATTGTGCCCCACCTTCTGTAGGTTCCCATTAGTCCTGTGAAATGGACATAGCCCAGGTGAGACAGGTTAATGAGCTCGCAACTCAAAGTTTTAGCCCCATAGAATGATTCAAATATCAATATATTTGCTTGGGTGCCTTCGTAACCACTTACCTAATTGGCTTAAACTTTTTGTTAAAAAGACAAAGGGAGAAATAAATATTGTCTTATGCTTATGTCTGATCTTTTTATTCTATGAACAATTCATAACTTGAATTTTGTAATTATTTTTATTTGCATACTTGGGCATTTACATATTAAAAGGGAGTCATTAAATTAGTCCAACTCTCTGGAAAGAGATTCCTAATATTTAGTGTCTGCTATCTGCTTTTGTCATTTATCCAAGAATCCATATTAGAGTATATCCTTTTATGGTAACCTTGGCCATCAGAGGCTATTATACTCTAGAAAAATCACAGTTTGAATATATATACCTATATTCTTAGATACTAATTTAATTAACTGCCTATATTTAAAGAAATGGGGTAACTTCTCAGAGTCTCTATCCAATCTAGTCTTTCTTTTTCCTGATTTTGGTCAGCCATGTCATCCGAATCTGTAAAATTATTGACAGGTGTCTTCAAGTCTAATGCTTCTTGAGAAAAGTTCACCCTGTGATAAAACTTCAATAGATCTATGTCATATTACTGGCAAGTTGAGGGAATTCACTCAACCTGGTTATCCTTGGATAAAATGATTTTAAAAATTACATACCATAGACTGGTGGCTGGAAGTAGTAACAGAACAGCAGACAACAGAAAGATAAAGCCTGGGTACCAAGCAACGGTGGCTGAATAAATTCCATTGAAAGTAGAAACTGCAATGACTCCACTGAGTGTTTCTGAGAAAGCAATACAAGCAAAAAGGGTACCTGTTTGGGGTCAGGGTGTAGAGGGAAAAAAAGAAAATGCTGAATTACAAAAATGGAGAAAATTATTGTTTATTGAAAAGAACAAACATGGAGGTACTACTTGGTAAAGCTATTCTGTCAAGCTCTGTGAGAAATCAGTAATCCATTTTGCAGGTAAAGAAACGGAGGTAAGAGTTCTCCTTGGACTTGATGGGAGAGATGTTGAAAACACAATAGCCAATATTCATAGGGCACAGCAAAAAGGACACAGTGGCTGACTTATTGGAGCACCACACATCTCCCCTCCCTGCCCGGCCTCAGCCAGAGACTACATTCATCTGAGGTTCTAGATGCTATAGCCCACTTTCCCTTGTGACAACTTGTTTTGTAGGGGCAGAATGGCTCCTAGCAGCAGATCTTTCCTCTCTTGAAAGGCAAAGAAATCTTTTTATCAGCCTCTCAGATCTGGAAGAGTGACAGCTACAGGCAAAGCGAAGTGCTCTTATACATTTTTTTGCAATTGGAATTTGAACCCTCTCTCCAAAGTGACAAAAATTCAGTTAAATAATTTTTTTTGATGCCTGCCTGTTTGACTTACCAAGTCAAAGACTGTGCCTTAGTGAATTAAACTATGGTTTCTTTTGTTACTGTTTTTTTAATACTATGGTTTGATGTTAAGTGTTTTTTCTGTCTTATCTGCTTGCAAGAGTATAAACCACGCTGAGGTGGTTCACAAGGGTGAGAAGAGTGGAGATTCTGCTGCCCTTCACACTTGTCACACACCAAGTCTGGCGAAGGGGAGGCCATGAGCACTGTTCAAGAAGCATGAAATGTCTGCATGGTCAGTGCAAGTTCAGAGTCAGAAGATGGTCATTATTCTAACCATTTTTAATTTTGTCTAGAATCTAAGACCATATTGATAGAAGAGTTAAACCTCCAAAACATAGCCTGGTCATTCAGACATACTTTTCTTCCTGTTTGTCAAATTTTGCAATACAATATAAAACATTTGTAACCATTCTTATTTCTCCATGACTTCCTTGGTATAAGTTCCTATATAGTTTTTGCTGATGCTATCATTAAACCACTATTCTTTCTCCCTACTTCACCAAATTTACTTTTCCATGATAATGGCCATGTTCTTTTATAAAAATGCAACTTAAGTAAATAGTTATATCTGAACTGATAGGAAGGCAAAGTCAAGCTTGAGGATTACCCTTCAAACTGGGTTATGGTTTACATGTTTCTATTTTCTCCATGGTCTTACTCTTTTAGACTGTGTATTGATTTTTATCTATGTAAACTTTTTACTCTATTACACATGTTTTGACACAAATCAGCAGATTCTTCCTTGAACAACAGGAAATGTTCAGAAAATAAACATATCTCTTCAGAAATGGTGTTATCATTTATGTGGTTTCCTTGGACTAAAATGAAAATCCTGTCTATGCCAAGACACCTTCGTTCACTGCTGTGTCCCCAGGGCCTAGCTGTGCTGGTAAATGTTTCATACGTATTTGTCAAATGAATGAATAAAATCTTCATTAAGGAGCCAGTTATCAGTCATTAAGTAGAATACTTACTGCCTCTGTAAATGATGTTGATACGTAAGTCAGCTTAATTGAGAAGAAATCCTCTTGTCTACCTTATTATTTTATTTTATTGCAAATCCTTTGCTACAGCCAGGGATAGTGCCATGGAGGACAGACCACAAAGCACTAGTCCCATTATGCAGTGGCTTGAATATATTCTCGGTGGGAAGAGGCAGGCAGTGCAACCTCTGTTCTGACACAACCAGCCATATTATTATAAAGTAGTTTCAGCTTATTGCTGACCTTCCCTGAGAAGTTCATGCTTAATAGCTGTCAGAGATTAATTGGATTAAATAATAAGTGGTATTTAGTTTTTATCTAAATTTAAAAAAATTCTCAAAACTGAAATCATGTTACTGTGTTTTCATTTATAATCATGAAGATATCAACAAAAACAAACAAAAAAGAAATGGGGAAAAATCAGAAGAAAAAAAAACCCACAAGCAGCACAGAGATTTCAAAATAATCATCCAAATCCAGTTTTCATATTTAAGGTAATAGACTGACAGGCATCTGAAAACTTCCGCAGCTTTCCCTGCTTCTCTTATTATTTTAAGTATATAATGTTTTCACAAAAATATTTGTTTTTAGAAAATGACAGGTGGGAATATATTCAGTTATGGAAATTGCAATACCATCAGGCTTACAGGTGGGAATATATTCAGTTATGGAAATTGCAACACCACCAAAGGATTACTTAGTTTGTATTTGAAAAATGAAGTAATTATAAAATCCCAAAATAATGGAATCCTAATTCACAAAATTAGAATTCAGAAATGCCAAAATGCAAGCCAACCTTTTAAACTAAACACTTAAAAAGGTCACTACATTTAATAATATGAAATGACGTTTTTAAAGATTTTATAAATCAAATATAAACAAAAACAAAGGTCTATTTCAGTTCTAAATCAAGCAGGTACCTTCTTTCTTAACTGAAAAGCTTCACTGATATATAATTCACATATCATAAAACTTTTTTTAAAGTTTTTTTTATTTTTATATATATATTTTACATTGTTCTTCCTTTTTGAACAATGCATGTTTTCCCCTTTCAGGTATAGTCCCTGCAAAATTCCCATCACCAATTCACCTGTGTGCGCCATCACCATAGTCCCTTGTAATAAGATCAGATTCCCTCTCCTGTTTTGATCCCTCTCCCTCTCCCACTCCCACTCCAACTCCCTGCAGTGTGTCTCTGATTAATAGTTGCCTGTTAATTTTATTTATTAATTTATTATAATTATTTCTTTTTCCTGGTCCTTTATTTGGTTTCCCTACATTCCTCCTATAAGTGAATCCATTTGATATTTCTCCTTTTCCTTCTGGCTTATTTCACTAAGCACAATCCCTTCCAACTCCATCCATGTTGCTGCAAATGGCATGATGGCCAATAGGTATATGAAAAAATGTTCAACATCACTTGTAATTAGGGTAATGTGATACCACCTTACCCAATGAAATACCACCTTCCACCAGTAAGAATGGAACATATTAAAAAAAATAGGAAACAACAAATGTTGGCAAGGATGTGGAGAAAAAGGAATTCTCCCACATTGCTGGTGGGAGTACAAACTGTTCCAACCACTATGGAAAGCTGTGTGGAGGTTCCTCAAACTACTAAAAATGGCACTTCTGGAGGATCCGGCAATTCCACTCCTAGGAATCTAACCAAAGGACACAAAAACATTAATTCAAAAGGATACCTGCACCCCTGTTTACTGCAGCACTATTTACAATAGGCAAGCTATGGAAACAACCCAAATGCCCCAAAATAGATGACTGGATCAAGAAGATATGGACACAATGGAATACTACTCAGCAATAAAAAAGTTTAATGTACAGTTCAGTGATTGTTAATATGTTCACAGAGTTGGACAAGCATCATATTATCTAACTTTAGACCGTTATAATCACCCCCGAAAGGAAGTGACTGCTAAAGTGACTTCCTTTCTCTTAAACATTAATTGAATTTCTGTCTCTATGGACAGAAATTATATGGAAATTTCATATAAATGGAATTATATTTACATCATAATATGTGGTCTTTTGTGACCAGCATCTTTCATTTAGCATAATGATTTCAAGTTCATCCATGTTGTAGCATATAACAATTCATTTCCTTTTATTGCCAAGTACTATTCCATTTGGCAGATGAACCACATTTTATTTATCCATTCATTAGTTCATGGACATTTACATTTTCTACTTTTGGTTAATATAATGTTGCTACGAACACTGTGTACAAAATTCTGTGTGGATTTATGTTTTCAGTGCTCTTGGGCATATACCTAGGAGTAGAATTGCTGCTGAATCATAAAACTCCAACTTTCTGAGGAGCTACCAAGCTGTTCTGCCAAATGGCTGCATCACTTTGTTTTCCCACAATCAGTGTATAAGGGCATCAATTCTCCATATCCTCACCAACACTTGTCATGGTCTTTGTTATTTTAGTCATCCTAGTGAGCCCTGTAGTTTTGATTTGCTTTTCCCTAACAGATAATGATGTTGAATCTTTTTTCATCTGCTTGTAGCCATTTATACATCTTTGTAGAGGTGTCTATACAAACATTTTCCCCAGTTTTTAATTAGTTTTTTTTGTTGAATTTCAAGAGTTCTTAAATATTCTACATGCAAGCTCTTTATCAGATGTATTATTTGCAAATATATTCCTGTGAGAGGTTTTTTCATGTTCTTGATGCTATTCTCTGAAATACAAAAGTTTTTAATTAGGACAAAGTCTAATTTATCTATTTTTTCTTTCATTGTGCTTTCGTATCATATTTAAAAAAACCATTGTATAATCCAAGGAAGCAGGTAGATATTTGCATACTATAGTAAATTTATATTTCTAAGTGGTTTTCCAATTAATCATTGTATAATCTATAAGTGAAAATCTATCTATATATAGTTATATCTCCTGAGTAGAAAATAATAAGGAAATACATTTTTTAATTTACTGAATCATGTAGTCTTCCCAGTGTTGACTAAATTGGCATAAATATAATAGCATATTTATGAATTATTCATAAATTAATATGAACATTTGTACCAGAATAAGGCATGAATCAAAGAAAGCTCCAGAGCCTAATAAAATTCATATAACACAAAGGGGAAGGAGGACAACCTGATATGCTTAATATCTTAGTAAACAGTTCTAACTTGAAATTTAATTCATTTGCTTTCAGTATTGGTAATTCTTCCCCTTTCCTGCCAACTCTAATGTTTTGTGCCCTGCTCTGTGCTTGGGAAGCTGATTATATAACTTGAACTTCCTTGCTTGTCTAACTTCCTGTTGTGCTTGTTCAGTGGGATGTGGCGTTTCTTCTCCACTCCCTCTCTACTAGGGCCATCCACTACTGCCTATTCCTCTGCACTGCCTTTTATTAAAGTCTCGGGCATAGTGGATCCTTTTTCCTGCCAGGACTCTGATTCAGGCTCAGTTCTAACATACATATGTCCCAAAGCTAGCATATAATTGGAGGTCTACATATTATAATCTAAGTATTTAAAGTTTTAATACTAACAAATCATTAGCTAAAATATGTTGTCTCCCTACTCTGAAAAATACCCTTGTAATGATCTGGAAGGCCAGACACAACCTAGAATTCTCAGACCTTTTAGATGTAGGGACATGACAGCATGGGGAAAGTTGGCCCTTTGCCCTCAGGCCCTGGCCTATAGGCTGCAGCCCACCAACACTGTATAGTACCACTTGCTCATCTGGCTCAAAAAGCCTTTATACATGGCCATAAACATGCCACTCAGGTTTTCCAAAGATGCATCAGACCCTTCTATAAGGAGTCACTGCTTAGCTATCTTTTTGATCTAGAGGTGAACACACTGAAGTCACTGTCCACCCTCAGGAGAAAATGTCTAAGGAAGGTCTTCTAGGCATTCACTAGATATGAGCCCAGAGCTGTCTGGCTGGGAAACATGGGGACTTAGGTGCCTAGAGTGTAGTTTAGAAGTGTGTATGTGTATGGGTGGGAGCTCCCAGTGGGCATAACCAACTGGCCAGAGGACTCCTCTCCTCCTGGACAGGGCAATGTTGAAAGCAAGTCCTGTAAAGCATGAAACCCTGGGTAGTAGTCCCTTGCATGAATATAGCCTCTTCCTAACACAGAACTTACCACTTAATTCAAAAGTAGTTTTGTGATGAAAAAGGGTGATAGAATATTTTGAAGACTTAAACACTGATTGTACATAAATTTGAGTTTTTACAAATTATAGATTAAGATTATAGATTAATTATATTTCTTAAACAAATTAAACTCACCTTGTTCAGTGGAACCAACCACTGCTGACATCATGGACCGTAGAACAGACAGTGGAACGACAGTGAAAAGGAAAGGCAACCTGACTGTGAGAAAGAATTGGAAATCAGAAAACTAATGGTCAATTTTAATATGAAACACTTTCAAAATATTTCATTTTCTATAAGCATCCTAATTCACTGCAGCTGAAGATTAATTGTAGTCTGCTTAATAAATTAAAATAATTATAGACAGGTATGTTTGTTAGTTTACTTTCAAATTCACACTGCAGTGCTAAGAACTAGAGTTCACCAAAATTTTAGGCCCATATATATATTTCCCTAATCATTACCTCTCACTTAACAAATCGCGACTTAGCTTTTTTTCCGTTTTTTTGCCTTTTCATCCCTAGTGCAATTTTTAGTGTTTGCACTCTTTTATTATATTGACTCATTTATTAATAAACTGGTTCTTTATCATCTTGTTTGTTCACCTTTTTGGCTGATAAACTTCATGAACACAAATTGCATCTGGCCTTAAAGTATGACCTTTAATAATCAGTAGCATTTTAGTTATATTATAAAATAGCAATATATTATATTTGCAGATTGCTTTAAAGTTTTTGACATGCTTTCATATATATTAACTTACTTTGCCTTGGAAACTAACTCTAAGGGAGACAAGGAGAACTGGCATTTATTGAATATTGGGTGTTGTGCTAAGTGCTTTATGGTTAACTATTTTAATATGCATTATTGCCCTCTGAATTAGGGACTGTTATGCTGATTTTTTCAGATGAAAAAATGAGGACTCACAGTGGTAAAGTAACTTTTCCAGGATCACCTAGATCACCTGGATGCTATGATAGAATCTAAGCCCAATTCTGTTTGGTCTTCCCACTTTTCTAAAGGATAGCAAGAGGTCAACACTGCCTTTGCAGAAAAAGATTAAATTGGACTTTCCCCATGGTCCCAATATAGAGAGCCTACAAACCTTTCAATGTAGTCTCTCATTCAAGCCCTACAAAAACTATTTCTGACGTAGGTATCTAAGGGTGCAGTTCAAGTTGCCAAAAAGTAACTTGCCAAATGACAATTCATGAAATGACCATTTGTAAAACCTTGTCAAAGAATTTTCTTATTGAATATATTCAATGAATATGATTTGTCTTGTGAATCTTTGGTGTATACTTTATTTTTAAAATTTTTTATGGGATGTAGTGTTAGCAGCATTTTATGAAATACTCAGTCTGGTGAAACCTATATCAAAGAGATGATTCACAAGAACATTTCTCAAAAATTTTTTTTTGGCAAAAATACACATTTGGAAAAAATTCAGTGGATTATAGTTTCTTGCAAACTAGCTTTTAACAAATAACTTTTAACTGAACTAGAATGGATTGAATGGAGAATTTAATATGAAAATTTCTCTCCCAACAGACTGAATTTATTTTATATAAAGATCAAATACACAGTCAGTTCTAAGGCTACATTTGTTACTCACCTAAAAACATCATCAGTGTTGTTGTGGCAAAAGCAGTCATAGCCATTCCCACCATGGTGGTAAAAATTCCAATGAAGGCCATGTAAATGTCTTTCATACAGTAAGAAAAAAGCCATATTCCTAGGAAACTAGTCAAGAAAGAGATGCTACCCAATGCTGACCCATAACCTATAAAAACTTCATTCCAGCAGAGTGGTGAATCTAATTCATAAAGGATAAAAATGGGGGCAGCGCCAATTATCACAAAAAAGTAACTGATCATTGTAAAAAGTAACAAAAAGAGCAGAGATCGTCCCCTACCAGCAGAATTTTTAAAAAGCATGTAAGTTCGGTTAAATAGGTTTTTAAACGCTTCACTGCATGATACGGAAACATTCTGAGATGAAGTCTCTTTCATTGAATCATCAAGAAAAAATAAAATATAAATCAAGTTAACAGTATGAGCCAGAGTAATAACTAAAAATGACCACGTATAATCTAGTTCTCTAATAAAATAGCCAGAAGACAGTCCTGTTAATCCAGTAACAAGTCCAAGTAAGAAGTCAGTTATAGCTATTCGAAATGTTCTTTGTTTCTCTTCTTTACATTGGTCAACGATATAGGCAAAACAGGCTCCCAAAAATGTGGTAGAATTGCCACAAAAGGAAGCAATAAAGGTAGATGCGATCAATAGCTGGAATGGAAAGGCAAAATAGGAAAGCAAACAGAGCCAAACACTGGTTGCGAGTGCACCCATGCAAGACAAAATCATAGGGAATTTTCGTCCTTTGTGATCACTATAAGACAGAAATATGAATGAAGACACTAGACCCGGAATTAATCCACTTATGTCCATCTGCAGATTAAAAAGGGACACTTTTTTCTGAACTTCCTGCAAAGAAATAAAAAGAAGACAATATGTTTACAGAGGTTTGTACAATAGGCATCAAAACATCATGGTGCACAATTTTCATGACATTGCCAGTAGGTCACAGAGGTGGAATCTCTGGTGCATGAGTTTGATACAGCTTAAATCTTTGTCCACTTTGCAACGCAAATATCAAGAAGTGATATAGTCATCAAGGCATCAGGTTTCCCAGCCCAGTGGGGACTTTAATCATAAAAATGTGTACACCAGTGTGTCCTGTCTTTGGACTCATAATCCAAAGTCTCTGGGACTGGCGAGAAAGAAAGAAGACTTTCTTCTATGAACAGTTAGTACTGAGAGATCATGATCCCTGCTCTAAAGCAATAGCAATACCCTTGTAGCTCTAGAGCATCAACTTGAAGGGGAGGTATCTAGGCCAGTGTTTTTTCCTTAAACATTAATCCAATTAAAAAGCAATAAGCAAAACAATAGTCAATAAGTTTAAAATTCTGGTAAAAATCTTCAAAATGAAATTACTGTTCTGGGCATTGGGGGCTCTCAGCAGCTGAACCAGGCTGAAGGTAGGGTCAATATGCATCACCTACACAGTCACAGACGCCACCGAGTGACTAGCTCAAGCCCTGTGTCCCCTCATTCCTGGAGGGCAAGAGCAGCCTACTTTCCAGAGAGTCAAGTACACTCCTCCTTTGTCTCTCTTACTCCTCCAAGGAGTTAAGAGAAGGAAAGCACAGAAATCGATAAGCCTATTAAACAAAACCAAGAAGGGAAGACACTTGCCTTTCTATGTTTATGACCTCAGTATAGACCAACACCTTAAGGTTTGCGTGACTGTCCAGAGTAGTCAGTTCCAAGGAAATTTCTCCATGGAAATTAGGAATTGAATAAGAACCAGGGCAGTGCTGAATAGCTAGGTCTCACCCCAGCAAGGCTATGATTCACATCCAGGGAACACATAAGGAAGAAGTGCTAGAACCTTTCTTCTCCAGCCCTCTGCCATTTCCCCCAGGCTTCATCTCCAGTCATAGCCCCAGCTCTCTGAGAAGAAAACTGAAGAGCCAGCAGGCAGGTGACACAAATTCCCTTTAATTTTTTGTTCCTTTGGGGAGGAAGAGCCAAGACTTGCCATTATAAAATAATACTGAGTTCAGAGTTTATAAGAATGGTCTGTTTGTCAAGAATTATGGGGAAAAAGTTCTAGAAGCTGGATGCTATCTCTGTTGCATTTGGACATTGGTAGGCTTTATTAAAAACTGTCTAAGGGGAATGGTCCTATACCTCCTGTTTTAACCAAATAATTGGGGGAGGAGGCTAGAGAGGGAGAAAAGGCTCTATAATGTCTGGCTAAATATTTTTGGTGTCCTCAGAGCCAAAAGGAGTGCTCTGCTGCCTTGATGCCCTCACATACTTGGGAGTCAAAGCTGATTTGATAATATCAGATGATGAATGACAAATGGTGGGCAGTGATGCTCCCCACCCCATGCTCATGACAGGCTCATCACAGTCTTCAGAAGTGACTCAATTTCAGGGGTCACTGAAAACTGGGTCACGCACATGCAATGGAAGTGGGCTGTGAAGAAGCAAGTAGGAGAAAGGCAGAAACACCATGTTTCACTCCACCAAGAACTTGTTCCTGCTGGCCTTGGTCCAACGTGCAGGCTTTTGGGTGGGAAGGAGAAAGAAGATAGCCACAGAGGAGATGAGACTTTGCTGAGATACTGAGAATGGAGAAGAATCTGTATGACTGAAGAAGGGGGTTTTAAGTAGAAGAGGCAGATTAAAGGTGTTAGTAATCTTCAAATGGAATAAACGAATAAAGACTTTTGGACTGGGACTTAGGAGTTTTATGGTGATCCTTGAGAGAACAATGCATGGTGAGTGCAATGTCCTCTTTCGTGTAAAGGTTGCATGTTCCCATTACAAGTTCCTTTTTTATTATATTTTAGGAATATTTTAATTTCTTACCTCCTGGAATGCAAATACTGGACTGTTTTCGTGCATTTCACATTTAGAAATATTGCTATCAGTTGTAATACTAGAGTTAACAGTTTTGTCCCATATTCTCTTATACACATATTGTGTTGTCAGTGGACCAACCAAAGTCATAGCAAATGCACTAATGCAAAGGGCAGGTTCTACAAATAAAATCTTCATATTGCTTGGTAGATAGCCAAACTCTACAGAAAAGAAAAAGGAGAGAGTTAAACAACTGTATTCTTATCAAAGATGCTGCTATTTTTAAAAAATCTTTATCCTTTTGGTTTTTGTTGATGCAACATTGGTTTACAACACCATATATGATTTAGGGGACTAGGTTCACACCTATTCAGATGTCTGTTACCACACCACACACCCCTCCAGAATACCTAGAGTCCTTACCTTAGAGAGCAGGGGGCTCCCTCCCAGTTACCTCCCTCCCCTATTTTTCCCCTCTACAGAAGCTGTGTTTTTTTAATCATGTGGGGTCAAGAAGCAAACTAGGGGACAGAAAGCAGTAAAAACTTCCTAATTCAGTAACTTTTACAATATTGAGTAAAGTAGAGGCTGTCATACTTCCCATTTTTAAGAGTAAGACCTGTTAGGGATCAAACCATCTTTAAGAATATTAAAAAAAAAAAAACCCTTAAGTTGTCACCGTCACCATTTTGGTTAGCCAGTGATCACATTATATTGTGTATTACCAGTTGGTTTTCACAAGGGAAAAGAGGTTCCTCTCAGGGCACTACAGTTACGAAACTGTTACTGTTTCTTCCCTGCATGTAAACAGCCGCCAGGAAGGGCAACTTTGTAAAACAGCTCCCAGTCATAAGGGGATTTTTTTTTTTTTTTTTTAAACTCACCCCGCAGTTACCAGTCTTTCTGCCAGGCTAGGCGCAGGGATGACAGTTTTCCGGGTTGATTCCTCTTTGGCCGGTGCCCTGCGCTCCGGAGGCGCCTCCTGAGCAGCAAGTGCCGGAGCCTGAGGTAGCTGAGGACGCGCGAGGGCACTGACCTCCGGGGCGGCCGGGCCCGCACCGCCCTCTGAGTCGGGCGGTTGCTTTGGATTAGCCCAAACACACTCACCAGGGACACTTAAGCCCTCGTCTGCAAGCAACCCGAGGAGAGCGCACTTCGGAATCCAAAGTGACAGCGGCGACCGGGCGCAGCGCGGCCCTGGCTGGGCACCTCGGTGGCCGCGCCCCGGCCTCGGCAAGCTCCGGTGGCCCCGGCGCGCCAGGCAGCTGTTCCCCGAGCGGTCGCTTCTCTGCCCGCCGGTGGTTCAGTGCCCCTGTGGGTGGGTCGGCCGTGGGACTTGCCCTCGGCCGGGACCAAACCCCGACCAGCCAGCACCTACCCGCCCGCCGAGGGGGCGGGGCCGCCGGGGTGCAGGTCCGGGGGCGGCCTACGCTGCTCTGGCCCTGGCAGCTCCCCTGCGATTGGGCCCCGTGGCCGGCGCCCCCACGGCGATTGGGTCGCCTCGACGTCACTCTCGTGCGCCAGTGCCCGGGGCACCCCTCCTGCTGCTTGGCGCAGCCTCTTTCTCTTCCTCAGTTCTTAGCAAGTGGTAGTTACGGAATGTGTCAAAAGCCTTAGATTCGAATCCTGATTGCTAATTAGTAGCTTGTAACTTTGAAATGACCACTTAACTTTCTTCAAAATTTCAGCAAATGAGCATTTACGAAGTGCTTGTCAGGAGTCTGAAACCGTGGAGTATGAATGTTGGAAAGATGGTATGCAAGACACACTTTCCTAGGAAGATAGATAATATTTTTAAATTGCAGTACTGTGTGTGCTAAGTGCTAAATGAGGGTCATACTCAAAGTGGAATGGGACAAAGAAGCAGCCCAGGAAGGAAGAGTTGGTCTGGGAGTGGTAGACATCTGACTGTCTCACAAGGACACTGGGAAGAGTAAGTGAAATAATCCATGCAGAAATGCTGTTGAGAAGTGTAAAGCCCTGGATAATCTTAATTATTGTCACTGAAATAACACTTGTACTTGCTGAATGTTTTTTTGTTTTGGCAGGTTAGACCCTCTTGTTAACTGTCAGGAGTAAAATGACCATTTCTGGTGCTTGGACCCTGTAAAATCAAGGTTAAGGTAATGCCCCTAATCGCAATACCTTAAAACAGTGAAGGTTATTTATTTATTTATTTATTTATTTATTTATTTATTTTTATAATCTCTCAAGGTACCTGTCCATCTTGGGGTTGGGGAGGGTAGCTTTGTATCCTATCATTTTCACTCAAACAAATTAATGGAGTCATCATCTGAATATTTTTGCTGGCATGGGGCAGAAAGAAGAGAATATAGTCTGTCTAACATACAGCTTTTAAAAAATTTCCCTCTGGAAATGGTGTGTTCCACTTCAGTTCAAATTTGATTGGCAAAAGCAAGTCATAGGGCTTTATGGAGAAGTGTAATTCTACTGTGTGCTCCAAAGCAAAGGAAATACTTGTAAATTGCTGTCATGACATCTTATGAAAATCAGTAGAAAGGAAAGGCATTCAGAAGATGTTCTTATGGACAGAAAGAATTAGTCTCCAATATATTTCTATGCTTTGCTGTCCCTACTCCTCCATGTGAAGAAGAAAGCTGGGCCTTCTTAATTTATTCCAGTTCATATCTCTATGGTAATATGCAATCTGCTTGAATTGTATTAAAGCAGATATTAATATTAACTGCTTGAATATGTATTAAAGAAATCTTAACCAATGTTAATTGGATATCACTGTACTGGGTACTGTGGATGAAACAGAAGTTAACATACCATAATTATTTCCATTTATTTAGTAAGAAAAGATGGGAAAGAAGTAAATAGTGATTTTTAAAATCATGTCTGGATATCATACAGACCAGTAGCTACCCTTTACCTACTACTATTACTATTCCTTCTGAATTCCTGATCAAACCTTAAAGACTGTGAAGCTGACAATAAAGTCTAGACAAAGGAGGAGGAGTTCCCATTCATTGGGCATAATCTCCCTGACCATGTTTCTGAAATGTGGGTCAATAGGAGTATTGACAAGGGTCACCAGGAAAAATTTTGACATTTTATGTTTTCAAAAGGGTTTTGAATCATATTATAATCCAGTTTTGACCCTTGATTTCAGTGTCTGTATTTGCATTTCTGTTTGTGATCATATTGGCTCCAAGAAGAAATATGTTAATAATGTGACATTAAAGCGAAACATTCTAAATAATATAAGTGATTTGTCCAAGCTATGTGAAGACCAAATGGTGTTATATCATGTTCAAGACATTTTCATTGCATTCCAGTACAAAGTGTGGGAGAACTGAATCACCACCTTACATGTGAATAGACACACTGAACTCAAAAATCCCACACTATACTAGGCAAGGCCATTTCCAAGTGGCTGTGCCAAAACATATAGTACTAGCAGATTTTGTTGGTTTCAAGAAAAAAGTGGCTTTTTCAGTTTTGGTAAAATCAGCCAAGTAAGATATGATGAAAAGACCTCAGTTATACCAATTACTGCTTCGTACTGATTGTCAACACTGTGCTGGTAAGAGTCTAATGGTACACCTTCCAAGTACAGATTGCTGAAAGGAAATGTAATCTGTTTATATGACCTTGGTCAATAAAATGCCAAAAACAGACTTAAATAGGTCTTATCTAGTTGAGAAATTCATAGCCTGACTTTAACCCTTGTCTTTTTTTTTTTTTAATAGAGGCATGTTTTATTTATTTATTTGTTTGTTTGTTTGTTTATTTTGTTTATACATGCACTGGGTACAGTCAGAAGCACGGAACGGTGAGAGAATTCACCAGAGCCAGAGCGAGGAGCAGAGCAGGCAGAAGGACCGAAGTACACTGCTGAGGGGAGCAGCGGGCGGCAGGAGAGGTCTGCGCGCCATGCGGGACCCTCCTCCAGTGGCCGGGGAGCAGCCGGGGATCGAACCGGCGCTGCAGAGGCCGCAGGCAGCTTCGCAACCCAGTGCTCAACCGCTGCGCCACTGGGGAGGCCCAACCCTTGTCTTTTTGACCTCTGTTGCTCTGTTGACCTTTGCTGCTTCTTGTTAACCAGGGTTTACCGTTCTCCCTCCAGTACATGTAGCACTGTTTGCAGTGGGCAAGGCATTCTACTCTTACACGCAAAAGCTAGATTTATCATTTTCTGTACCAAACTCACCACAGGAAAGGCTGGAGCCTTAGGCAGTCAGATTAGATTTCTCGATTTTTTTCCTGCATGACAGAAGTAAATAGATTTGACTCATTTAGGTGAAGTAACCACCGTGAAGAATTTCCTTTTCAAGGAAGGGAGAACTCAGAAGATGAATTGATTTCTCACGAGTAGGATGAACGCTCAAATTTGATTTGTGTAGTAAATTAAATATGACTTTATTTTCTGCCACAGCAGGTAGAATATATATGAAAGCTTAGAATAGAGTGTGACATGGTGGGTATTCAGTAATGTTTGAGTTTGAATGAAATACCTTGTATTGTGTTTGAGAAGTTGTAGAGAAGAACCTGGCCACTACTCCAAACTGACTTTTTCTTTATCCCAATAGGGCAGCTTTCCTCTTAAGAATAGTCAGTCCCTGGGTCTCCCCAGTGGGTGGCGCAGCGGGTTGAGCGCTGCACTGTGAAGCTGTCTGCAGCCTCCGCAGCGCCGGTTTGAGTCCCGTCTGGCCAGGGGGATTCCCACATGGCGAGCAGACCTCTCCTGTCACGCCCACTGCTCCCCTCAGCAGTGCTTTCGGTCCATCTGCCTGTTCTGCTCCCCGATCTGTCTCTGGTGAATCCTCTTACCCTCTCGTGACTCTGGTCTGTACCCCAGCTCTTGTATAAATAAAAATAAATCTTTAAAAAAAAAAGAGTAGTCAGTCCCATTTTTAATGAGTTTGAGTCTGTGAATAGGGAAGAGTTTCAAGTTAGCAAAGTAAGTTAAATTCATGCACATGTGACTCCATAATATAAACCATGTTTAGAGGATTAGCCCTTTTCCTTCCATACCTAGCTTCTTACCCCAGGACCATCATTTCTCACCTTGCTGAGGCCACAGTTTCCTATGTGAGCACTCTACCTCTACTCTTTATTCTCTATATGACAACAAGCAGAATTATCTTCACAAAGATACAGGCTCACATCATTCTCTTGCTTGAAACCCTTCAATGGATTCCCCATTGAATCTAGAAGAAACTCAACCTCTTTGCCTTGGCCCGAAAGGCCCCAAATGACCTGGCCAATATCCATCTCTTCATTCTTCAACTGCCTCCAATGATCAGGATTGCCACACTTCTTCCTTTTCTTTTGTTACCTAAAGGTCACCTTAGATAAGTCTCCGTTGAGCACCCTACCCAAATTAGGAAAGTGGGTGGTTTTCTGTTATTCTCTAGCTCAACATCTTGTTTGATTTCTTTTGACACTTCATAATCTCTTTTTTTTTTTCTCGCATTACCTTTTTTTTTTTTCTTTAAAGATTTATTTTTATTTATTTAAACAAGCACTGGGTACAGTCAGAAGCACAGGAGGGTGAGAGAATTCACCAGAGCCAGAGCGGGGAGCAGAGCAGGCAGAAGGACCGAAGTACACTGCTGAGGGGAGCAGCGGGTGGCAGGAGAGGTCTGCGGGCCATGTGGGACCCTCCTCCAGTGGCCGGGGAGCAGCCGGGGATCGAACCGGCACTGCAGAGGCTGCGGGCAGCTTCGCAACCCAGCGTTCAACCGCTGCGCCACCGGGGAGGCCCTCATAATCTCTTTTATGTACTCATGTTTACCTTCTTTGGTCATTTCTTCCCAGCGCTAACATGTACATTACATGCACATAAGACCATGACTAACTTATCCAAGGCTGTGTCCACAATAGAAGTGGCTGACATACGTTAAATTTTTATCAAATAGATGAAATGGGGTGGTTATTTTCAGTGCTCTCAAATTATGGACTTGTACAGTAAATTTACCCTTGGGTATCACAGAGAATAATTATCTGACATATTTATTTCTGTAAGAGACTGTGTTTATGTTTACATTCTTTGTCTTGCTTAATACCAGAATATTCAGCAAACTATAGTTAGAAACAATATTCAACATGATATGCAATATTGACAGAAATGAATTTTTTTCTTTAAAAAGTTATTATTTTTAGAAGGTATTTTAAAATGTATTATTTCCAAACTGATTGTCATTCTAACTGAAATTATTTTCCTTACTAGAATAAGAGAGAAAAAAGTTCAGTTTCACTAGCAATCAAATAAACTTCCCTTAGAATAATGATTATGATATCATCTTCCACATTCAAAATGGACAAAGATTTTGTGTTTAAGAGAATTAATTTGGCCATCCTGAGATGAAATGAATAAACTGTATACTATTGGTAAAAAGTGAATTGGTAGAAATTTTTTAAGTAACAATTTCAAAAAAGTACTAAAATCATTAACATTTTGGATATGCATTGTCTATTATGCTTTATAGCTTATTATGATATGTTTTATATCATAATTATGATATGCTTTATAGCTATAATCATAATTATAATTATGATTATAATTATAACCATGTATATATTATATATATAATAATAGGGGAATAGTACATATATGTAGTGGTGTGTTTAAAAAGGCAATTTTTTTCACAGACATTAATTACATGGAAACATTTTTATGCTTTGACAGTAAATGAAAAGAAAAAAGAAAATAAACGTACATTGTATTCTCCAACTTGGCTCAAAAATAAGTGTACATATGAATGTATAGAAGAAAGCCCATAAGTACGATGTCAAATGTTAATAGCAGTTATTTCTAAGTTGTGGTATTGTAACAATTTTTGTTTGTGTATTAGATATCATAGTATAATTTTCTACATTTTCCACATTTTCAAGAATGAACATGTATTGATTTATAATCAAAGAGTTTATATGAAAAGAAATGAGAGGAAAATGATAAAACAATTGCATGCAAAATCATCCATATTTGTTACAAAGCTTTAGGGAAAAAGTTCTCAGAATTTCTCAAAGGTTGATATCTTCCAAGAGGTTCTCTGAATTTTAACGTTGAATCAGCAACCATGAGACAAACTGACGTTCTTGGTCTGTCACAGGAGGCACATGATAAGACAGGATGGTAAGGATGACAAGCAGT